TAGAGAGAGAGAGAGAGAGAGAGAGAGAGAGAGAGAGAGAGAGAGAGAGAGAGAGAGAGAGAGATCAGAACCACAGCTAGCAGAGTCCATCTGACGGTGACGGTGATATGTTGACGTGGAACTGGTGTGCTGGTGTAGGCAGTTTTGTCTTTAACTGGTACAGCAAACACAAACACCGAGAAAGAATACTGAGGCCTTTCGTGTTTTGTATGTCTTGTCTTGTCTTGAGCTCCTTCCTGTATGCCCTTGGCTTTTCCGATCGATGTGTTGTTAGATTGCCGACGTGTTGATGTTGCCCACCAACAATCGAACAAACGGAACAGAAATAGTGGCACATGGCGGTACAAGGTTGTAGCAACATTTTTCCGTTGCAGATGCCTCGAGTAGAAGTATATTCCTTGGTTGGGACGTGTGCTTCAACGGGCGTTATGTCACAGAAGGAAGCGCGTACGATACGAGAAGAGAGCCCAATTCATGTTGCTGTTGTGGCCCCCCGCCTCCCGCTGGCTTTATTTTCGACTTAAAACAACCTCTAGAAAGCGATTTATGTTGATCACGCGTCCGCGAAGTACCCAGTTGTTCACGTGTCGACGTTACATCTCGAATCGCAGCGGGGATGGGGCGAGGCGATGCTGAGTTACCTGGAGCGCGTGGCCCTAGCCTCCTCCGTGCAGCACTTGTTCGTTCTGTCTACGGTGACGATGCAGTGGTTCGTGGAGCGCGGCTTTCGCGAATCGCAAGTGTCAGACCTTCCCCCGGAACGCCGAGAGTGAGCCACCCACCAGATGTAGCGTTTGCTACCACGCCCATGGAAGGAAGGGGGGGGTGTACTATTGCGAAGTCACGCTGTGTGAAAGTGGTCACACCGTTGATTTGGTTCGCATCCCTGTTAAGGAATCGAGCGATATGTCGGGGGTTGCAGGGGTCTGGTTTTACGTTGTCTTCCCAGCAGGATCGGTTGCGAGTTGAACGGAAGACGAGCAGACAATCGCCTTCTTCGCCCCGTTGCTTGAACTCCTCAGTGGTAAAGAGAAACAGACACAGGTTGTAGGTGAACGAAAAAGGCTTGGCGTCGAAGGCGTTCTTGTTGCCCTCTCGGGCCTTGTGACATTTCCCGTATGTTTCCCGCAATTCGGTTCATTGTTGCATTAAAACAATGGCAGTAGCCACTCACCACGCCACAATATCCACCCTCCCTCCCCCCTCCCCGTATCTCTTGTTGCGTCCCCCGCCCCCGCCCCTTCTCTCACTCGCTTGGAACTAAACGGCGCCCCCCACGTGGCTCATCTATCGTTTGTTTGCCGCAGGTCATACAACTGGGAACGGATGAGCAAGATCTACCACAAGACGCTCGGCGGGGGGGTGCGTGCGGTAGACGCGGAAGAGCTGCTGTGGGATGTGCGCGGCATGATCTAGCTCGACCCTAGTGACCAGTGCGCGACCGATGATGTCCCCGGCATTTTTTTTTTGTGCTGGCTGGTGAGGGACTTGTTCGCGGAGGAATTAAGCGCTACATTTTCTGTGACCTCGTCAGACAACGCCGGAAAACGTGTGCATGGTCGTTGCGGTACATTTTACGTGGCACGTTTCGTTCAAGTGGTACCTTCCACAAGAGTGTCGAATTTCGACCACAAGGCGAAGGAGAACGTGCCGAGAAAGGGACCAAATGCAGTGAATGGCACAAGTCTGTGTTGTGTTGTTGTTGCATCGAAGGCTCGATGAGCCAGCGCGAGACGGGCATGCTTTTCTCTTGTTCGCCCCTTTGTTGGTCTTGGCAGCGTCTTGTCAAGTCTTGGGGGCCGGTGGTTTCAGGAAGCTTAGCTGTGATGCCAGACCCGATCGCCTTCTGAATGCTGCTTGCCTCCACGTTTGGGGGAGAGGTTGAGAAAACCCGATGCAGCGGCCGCGGTCGGTTGAGTCCTGGTCGGTTGTCAGCAAGCTTGGTACAACAGGGTTAGGTTTGATGGTGTTGATATTAGTCGTCGTCGGCGCCTCTGTTGTGAGAAGAAAACTATTTTTGGAAGCAAATAAGCACATGTTGTCCTCTTGTTGATCGTGGATGCTTTTCAGAACGGAAAGAGATTATCACATGTTTGATTTAGTGGTTGTTTCGGAAAAAGAACTATATGGTACTTTTTTGCGGGATTTGAAGCCTGCAACCGATGATGGCGAACGTGAAAGTACGTGGTGGCCACCTCTCACGCGAAGAAAGAAAGCTTTCTATGGAAGCTTGGAAACACATGCGTCTCCGTTCTTATCGCCCATGGCAGAGGTGTGGATTCTGAATGTGTCAATGTTTGTTACAGCAGTGTTCGTTCCGCAAGAAAACTAGGCGTTGAAAAGCGATATCGTGGAGTACAACCGGTGCTAGTGAGCGTAAAGGTGGGACAGTAGGTCGTTCACCCTTCTAAGGACGTACGGGGAGACGTTTGCGCGTGGGAGTAGGGGCTGATGACGCAAAGTGTTTCGCGCGGCCGTGATTGTTGTGTCGTTGTCGCGAGCACAGGGGCGCTAACTCTGCGGCACTGAACATGTGTTCGCGTGGGTGTGCTGTTTTTGTAAAACCGGCGTAGCTGCTTTTTTTTTTTTTTCCTCCCATCATTGGACTCTGTCGTCTGCCCCTCTGGCCCCTATCCCCCACTTCTACTAGCTAGACGACCCAACCGGGGTCACAAAAGACGGGGGGGCTGGACCCCCTGCTGCTATGTGGGCTGCTAGTTCATTAACCAGCGGGCACCGGAGCTGAATGATGATGTATGCATACCCCAAGCGTTGTCTCAGTCGCTTTGAGACAGTAAATTGGTCCCGAGATTGTTATTGTTGGTTGTTGTCTTCCTTCCACATTGAAAACCGTTCCGATGTCTACGCTCTACATAGTACCTCTAACAGCCGGACCGGTCCAACTCGCGCAGAACCCTTCCGTGGTCACAACTGGCATCGGAAACGGTTGGTTTGGGAGACTAGGATAGAACAGGATGGGTACAAGAATTTTGGTTCTCCAAGCGACCCGACCGAAAGACGAGTACAAGCCCAATGATTATGGGGAAGGCAGGGGGCGGGGTTTGTGCGTCCTCCTGTGCCCTTGCAACCTTGCGTGTCCAGGATATTTGCCAAAGTTTCCTTGACTACCATAACCAGGACGAGCACATTCCGTAACGGGTGATCGTCAAAACGGAGAGAAACGCTCAAGTACCTGCCAAGTCGGTAGCAACATCGTTCTGCGCCACATAACGCTCCGCGATGTTCACAAGTTGGTTCCGTTCGCCCCGAGACCAGGAGCGACGAAAAAAACGCTCCAATAAATTGAATTTCGTGTCAACCATGTCATCATATTTCGTAGTACACTGCCATGTGCAGCCAGCGGTGGCAGCGTCCCTGACTACTGAAACCACTTCGCGAACTATACCAGCCTCTAACGATTTCCGGCCTCGGTATCACATCAAATTTCCCGAACTTTAGCTTCTTGCCTCCCACGGTTTTCCCCATGGTTGACAGGGGCACAGCAAGCAGGGAAACCATAATAATAAATGAGCACCATGAGTCCGAGAACACAAAGACCAAAGTTCGGCGTCAAGACGAATGATAGAGTTCAATCCTCACACACCGACACGCGCTTCTCTTGGGTGGCAAAAAAAAAAGTTCCATGGCACAAGCCATCCCCAACGCGAACGCCAACACTCAACAACGGAAAACGATGCTCCTAACTCCCTAAATGAAGATCTACCCCAAGGGGGTAGGCTTAGCTATCAAGAGTCATGCTTGCAATGCTTGTGGTGTCGGGACCCCCTGTGCCTGTGACATCGCCTGAGCTTCCTGTTGAGACCGTATCTTGTACTTCATCTGTAGGTGGTGAGGGCGTGGAAGGATTTAGAGGAAGGGCGGCAAGGGTTATGAGGGAAGGACGCCAAGGTTGACCACGCGATGACAGGAGACACGGAAACGCCTTAACTGTACGCGTGAAGCACCACACGCGGATGTGAGGAAGACCGACCGACTCATAACTCCCCGTCATGCGGCCGGCTTCCTCTTTTGGGAACGAAAATCATCAAGACGTACGCCAGCGTTCACTTGGGCTACCACGCCCTTGTTCGTTGCTCTCAGAGCCACAAAAACAGTCCAGCAGAGTACTGTAGCATAGCACTAGTGGTTCGCTTGGTCTCTCCGTTGTCATCATCTCGTGAGTTTGGCGTTCGTTCAACAACAACGTCCACAAGTCAGCCACCAAACGACCTCTGGATGCGCACACGCGCACCTTCCATTCTGCCGCCTCCTTCTCCTTGTTGGCCCGGGTAGTGGCCAGCTGCTGCAGGAGCTGCTTGATGCCCTCCTGGTTTGCCTTCACCGTGGGCAGCACCTCCCCCACCGTGCGCTCCACCAGCACCCCTCCCACCAGGCGGTAGGCTCTCCGCGTCCGCTCCAAGGGCTCCAGGGTGTCCACCACCATCCTTCATTCAGACGAACAGCCGGCGGGACGGTAGAACTGACTTCGTTAACCCTTCTTGATTCTTAATTCTTCTTTGGAAAAATAAGAATCAAGTTCATCGCTTACCCGTACAGTGGTGTCTACGGTTTGAGAGAGGGTCGTGACAAGCCAGTACTGCTCTCTTAACCCCTTTAGGGCTAGATGGCCTTTTGGGGACACTTTTTGTCCCCATCTTCTTCACCTGCTTTACCTCGCGAAGAATGGCACGTTTGTCTCCTCCTTTGAACTACTTGACCAGGGGGGTGCCAGGGTACACGGGGACGACTCTAGTTGAGTATGGATACTTTGTAGAGTGGAGGAGTATGAGGGTAATGAACAGGTCGAATCGAGGGGCGATTACGCCGCGGGTTCAACAGCGAAGTTGCGCCACGTCTGTCTACCCTTGGGTGGAAAGCGCTACAAGGGGCATGCGCGGAAGAAGTACCTAGCCCACCGTTGATAGGAGGCACCGGGCAACCTAGGGCTTGGGTTAGAAGCTCGCTGTCCCTCTATTAATAGACAACTATCTTGAAAACCTCCGTTTCGTGCCCCGTTTACCACGCTCCCGCCAGTTGCTGTAATATAATCCCTATCAAATGTCCCCTCGATTCGAGGAGACATTTGATAGGGATTATAGACAAGAGACGGCTCAAGTGGGAAGGCAGCTTTGCACTTGCACCCAGGGATGGAACTGTCTGCACCATCCAATCAGCAGGCGTCGTTCACTCTTTTTTTTGCATTTCAGAAATTCCGCAAGAACGCCGACTTTTTTGTGCGTGGTAACGGTTTTTCTCTTGAGCCGTAGTGCTGTGAAATGTATGTATTTCTCGAGGTCGTGACAAGCCAGTTTGACTCTCTTAAATGGGTACTTTCTCTTAAATAATCTGTAGATTACAGCTTTTACGATCAACTCGCGAAAGCACTCAAGGTGCTACATTTATGTGGCTGTGATCCTCGCCTTTGTCTCAGGGCGGAGAGAGCTGTTCGTCCACGCGAACCTTTACGCGCGCATTTGGCCCGGGCAATGATGGGTCTCAATTTGCCGCCCATACCATGACTATAGAGTCGATTCGAACTCAGCAAGTCTACCACAGCAGTAAATACAACATAGCATGGGTTCCGAGAGTAGCAGTATGCAAATCGGGTGTCGAGTGTCGAGAGGGGTGATCGGGCCTGTCTGTCGGAGGGTGGCAAGGGCCATTTTAAAAAAGCCGGGAACAAATTACAGCTTCAAGTCGGAATATGATGCAGCGAACGCATGGCACGCAAGCAAGGAACATTCATAGCGGGTCGGTTTGTAGTTGGTGAAAGTTAAAGACACGGAGCAAAACCACACGAAGTGGGGGTGTTCAAGGCTTTTGGGCAACCGATACCACAGACCCACTGGTTTGAGTCGTGCCCACTGACAAGACTAACTGCAACTCTCAAAGCAGTAAATAGTGGAGCTGTTGCTGAAGAGTGCTTGCTGCACAGACAATGCTATGTGATCGTGATACGATTGCCGTGCTCACTGCAAGCGCATCAAGAGAAGAAGGCTTCATGCGAGCGCCTAGAGCGGCACGGTTGTTGACGCGCGGCTTTGTCTCACACACGTGCTGTAGGCAGCACGCCGGAACGGTGACTGGTGATGACCTCGAGAACGACTTACTGGTGTTCGGAGACCTCCTGCTCCAGTTCGGAGATCTTGCGCCGCATCTGATTTACGTCGCCAAGCATCCCACGATATGTCCCGATTATCTGCTGTTCGTTCAACTGTTGTCCCCCAACCCCCCCCGCCTCCCCTCCTGGTGCTTTGCCCTCTTCCATGGTGTTTCTGCCTTTGTATCTGTTGTCTACGATGCTGAAAGACAGCACCTCTGCTCGGCATTCTGCACTGCTTCGCTTGGCGTCGTCAGAAGAGAGCGGCCCCGTGACAACATCCCTACTCCTTCCCTTTTTGTACGCACGCAAATTCTTCAGGCCGTGGCACGGCCCACGTGCACCCATGCATTGCAGCAGCAGCAACCAACCACCACCAAGCAGCAGTGCGAAAGAACATTGGGTAGCGGGAGGAAAAGGTAGTTGGTCGTTGTTACCCTCAGGAGTTTCGCCCCCCAGTCTCGATTCTGTGGCGGTGACCACCTCTCTCCGGAATCCCAATACGAGAGGATGATGGATCGATGTCATCTCTCCGCCCTGAGCGTTCCGTTGTTCCTGCTGATCGATTTGTTCGGCGCAACAACAGCAGCCGCAGCACCAGCAGTGCCAGCAGCAACAAGACGGCCTCCTCTGGGCGTGCCCCTCAGACGAAGGTCGCCTTCATCTGCCTCCATAGCGCAGGACCGCTCGCTGTGGAGAAGGAGACGGCTTGCAGATGGCGAGGAGGACGCTGCGCAGGATTTCCAAGCCGGAGTGGTGGAGGTGATGGACTGCGAAAACACGGAGTACAGCGGCGTGGTGGGCATCGGGACGCCTCCGCAAGAGTTCGAGGTTGTGCTTGACACCGGGAGCTACAACCTGTGGGTGAGTTTGCGCGGGGAAGGGCTGGCCAGAACAGCAGTCCGTTGCGTTGGGTTTGGTGCATCATCATCTTTAGGGAGAGCAATGCGCAGGCAGCACCGTCAACCAACCCTGGTCAGTGTACAGCAGCAGTAGATAGTTGTCCCGCAATCCGTCCATTACGACGGCAGCGGTTGGTTGTTGCGTGCACACGTATGTCACGAACAGATGCAGCCATACCGCCGTGTACGCGACGAGCTCTGCTGTGCACCCGGTAGCCCTCACGCACGGTTACACGGGGCACGCCGCTGTTGATTGGTTCTTATTTCGTTCAAGAGAAGATAAGATGGACTAAACCGCCGAACCCCATTCGTTGCATGCGTGCTGTCGAACAACCTGTTCTTCTAGCTTGGTTTCGATAGACTCAACAGCTCAAGAGCACAGCATTGGACGCACCCCGCTTGTTAGTAATGACAGCAAGAGACCACTTGCTGCTGACTCGATAGCCCAGACGGAGCTCCAAATCCACGGTGCGAGAGAGTCGCTCCAATAGCAGTAGACTAGTCACGAATGGTCCCGACCTGCAAGGCCTTAGGATGACGTTTGTCAGAGGCTTGCACCGATCGGGCCACATGCAGAATCGGCCACGGACCTATGGCGCACCCGCGGGCATATACAGCTGTCTGTCTGTTCGGTGTGATTTAAATTTTGTAAAGAGATGGTTGTAGCGTAGAGCAGTACTGTACTGTAGTCACTCCGATCTAATGAGGAGAGGGCTCTCCTCGCTCCTCTCACCTCACTCTCTCACCTTCTGTCCCTGCCCCTTGGAAAAAGAAAAGAGCAGCGGCCAAAAACGCGCGTCGAAAAATATTAGAAAGTTCTGAGGACACTAGTCCCTGTCAGAGACAGAGGCCGGTGCTCTGGCAGTATTCTCCCACTGCCAAGGGTGGCTATTTCCTTTCGTGAGATGTGACGAGGAGTGACCAGAGGGTCGAGAGGGGCGAGCCGGAGGCTCCCCCATCTCTTCCCTCGGCAAGCGGCCATGGACTTCGGAAGAGACAAATCTCCTCGGTGCTTTACTTGCCACTTCTCCCGATGGCAAGTTACCCTGAGGAATCATATCTTCCTATACTTAGTATGTGCACATGGTTGGTTATATATTCCGACAGGTGTCCTCCACATCACCCCCCCCTCTATGCGCCACAAGTCCATCTGTGCTAAAGATGTGCTTTTGGCGTTCAGAGACATGAGTGGCTCATGGAGACGCATGTATCGGAAATAACCTATATCCATTGTGCAACACCATCGACTACATCTAATTATCGTACAACGCGTGTTGAGAAAACACGGGGAGTCTTCAGACGGTCTATGAATGTGGTCCATACTAGTATAGTCTAGAAAAAGGTGGGTACTGGGCTGTCATGATTACAGCTAGGGTACTAGAAAATTTCCCATGGTCATGATCGCGTGACATGCCATGTGTGGGGATGATGTGGGGTAGACTTGTAATGAGGTGAACCTCTGGCAAGTCCGCCTAGGCATCATAAATAAGATCTTGGGATAACGGTGGCCAAAAAAAAATTATCCTCCTCGCCAGTGTTTCCCCAAACACTGATAGAATAGGTTGTTTCCAATGAACACAACCTACCACCGTGGCTACCGGTCCTGTGTTAGTGATGGACACAAGATAATGGTAGTAGAAAATTTCCCAAGTTTACAAAAGGTAAAAATGGTAGCTGTTAGAACGATAGTAAGCGTTTCAATCGTTTAATTTCCGGGCCCTGATTCGTTTTCGCTTGCTAGTTCGGCAGGGCAATGTAACATCACCCGGCTTGGGAGCAGTGCGAGGTGGGGTTATACTAGAACTCGTGTTTATTGTTCGTCGTCGTTTTCTAGTTTTACGCGGTGACTCTGGGTCACTGTGCACAACCGATGTTCGAGACAGACGCTGTTTAGAGTTCTTGGTTTGTTCCCGCTGTCGTTTCCTGGTTTCACTGGGTGATTCTGGGTCGCCCTGTGTAACTTGGGTACGAGATGAATTTTTATTAGTGGGGCCGGTGTCCAAACCACAACGGATTCGGTAGGCAGCTATCATTTCCTGACATTGTGGAATTTCGTCTGCTCGGTATTCAAGGTCGGACTCAGGGCCATACCCTCGAAGGCGCAAACGGTACCTGTAGTTGTACGGGGTTTTCGGTCCCCGACCACTCTTATGGCTTACCACTTTGTCGACGACGTAGGACTCAATTTTTGGTTGAGTTTCGTCAGGATGGTCTAGCTCGGGCAACGGAATCTGGCGGCCTAAGAAAAACTCGGAAAGTTTGTCGAAGTCCGGCGCAGGTGGTGTGTTCCTAGCATAGTACCGTTTAATATGGGCTATATGGACTGAAACTTCTCGAGTTTCGTTTTGACGTCGCACTCTATATACCACTGGGGATAGTTGGGAGCAAACAACGTAAGGTCCACGCCACGGTAACAGCAATTTTGGGTTTGGGCCGTCCGAATCTTGGTACGGTCGGTATACCAGTACTAAGTCACCACGTTTAAAGACAGGTATAGGACGCAATTTAGCGTTCTTGTCAGCTTGTTTCTGTGTGCGTTCCGACAGATTGCGGCGCGCTAACTCAAAAGCAACCTGTAAATTTTCCTGTGTGGCTTTAGAGAATTCTTCGGTATTTGCTGTTGTTCCTTGATGAGGAATACCGAGAATGATATCAACTGGTAGTCGGGGCTTCCGACCAAACATGAGGAAGAATGGTGTTTCATGCATGGTGGAGCTATACGATGTGTTGTAAGCCAGTTGAATAAAAGGCAGCAGTGATGCCCAGTTGTCGCGGTTCATAGAGCTATGCATGGCAAGCATTGCGTGCATAGTTGCATGTACTCGTTCTGAAACAGAATTACCTTGCGGCCGATATGGGGTCGTACGGGTTTTCTTGTAATTCAGAATCCGCTGTAACTGTTGTATTACACTGTTTTCAAATTCAGGACCCTGGTCAGAATGCAACATTTCAGGCGCTCCAAATATGCCTATGATGCGATCGATAATGGCCTGCGCAACAGTGGCTGCTGATTTATTGGGAATCGGAGTCAACACGGTGAATCGGGTTAGATGGTCCATCGTAGAGAGAACATATTTGCATCGTACCCCGGCGGTTGAAACCGATTCTACGTTATATTCGACTAAATCAACCGAAATACGTTCAAACGGTCTTTGTACAGGTACATGTCCCGTTGGGAGTTTGTTTCGGTTGTGGGCCGTTTTTCGACGTTGACAGGCTTGACATTCTTGACACCAAGTACGGACGTCTCGATTCATGGTTGGCCACCAATATTTTTGGCGGATCTTCTCATAAGTTGGTCTAGACGCTAAGTGGCCTCCGGACAATACGTGGTCATGATATGCATGCATCACCAACCCGGTTAGAGCTTGTGGTAATACTAATTGGTCACTGAACGTACTGCGTTTCCGGAGGTAACCTGGTAGATACGATTTATACAGCAACTCGTCGCGCACAAAGTAGTACGACATGGAAGTTGTTGTCTCGTTATCAGGTAATCGGGCGTCATCTTTCGTAAGATAGTCGATATATGTGCCGTACTCGAGAGCTTGCTTTTCACGCAAAACGTCGTGATTAATCGTCTCAAAGACATTGGTCGCGCTAACATAGACTGATTTCTCAGCGAATAATTCGCGATCGCTTTGGACTGGTTGCAGGTTATCCAGGCGATCTGCAGACACTTGGTACGGACGTTGTGGGACACTAGATTGTAATGCAGGGTCCTGCGGCACATTTCTGCAAATCGGTGCTAGTTGCGGGGTTTCCAACTGTTGTTGGTGATCAAACGCAAACAACCGAGAGAGAGTGTCTGGGACTACGTGTAACCTTCCCGGCTTGTGTCGCACGGTAAAGTCAAAAGACTGCAAAGCAATCGCCCACCTAGTCAGCATATTAGACGTGTCTTGCATCGTGTACAAATATCTTAACGCCGCATGATCCGTCACGACTTCAAAATGTTTACCCCACAGGTAGGGTCTCCAGTGTTGTAAACTCAAAACAACTCCGTAACATTCTTTCATCGTGGGGGAGTAGTGGCGTTGAGCTTTGTTAAATCGCTGGCTGAAGTATGCAATAATATTCAGGTCGTCACCATTCTTTTGGGCTAGGAATGCTCCTGCACCAACTTCACTGGCATCAACGTGAACCACGAAAGATCTGGTAAAGTCAGGGAAACATAGTACGGGGGCTTCGCTGAGTAAACGTTTTACCTCTGCAAACGCCTTATCGTGTTCCTGATTCCATCGTTTTGCGATTGATTTCACATGCTCTTTCTGCGTGAGTTCGACTAGCGGCGCGATTACCGTAGAAAGGTCGGGTATATACTTACGTACAAAATTGACCATGCCCAAAGCCGAACGAAGTTCTTTAATGGTTTTGGGTGTAGGTAAGTCAATAATGGCTTTAATGCGATCTTCACCTATGCGAATCCCTTTCTCAGACAGTATGTGTCCCAAGTATTTGACTTCTCTTGGTCCAAATTGTACTTTAGTGGGTTTCAGGGTGAGACCGGCAGCTTGGAGGGCCTGGAGCATGCTTTCTAATAAAGTTAGATGGCTCTCCCAAGTAGAACTGCAGCAGATGATGTCGTCCATGTACACTAGAAGTCCACTGCGTGGTCCAAAGTGAGAAAAGGCTAGGGACATCATACGGGCAAACAAGAAGGGAGCATTCGCAATTCCGAAGGGGAGGCGTTTAAAGACCCATTTCCCTTTGTGTGTTACAAAAGCCGTCTTATCTTGCTCTTCTGCTGGTATTTCCATTTGATGATACGCGTTTTGAATGTCACAAACTGTGATATATTTCGCACCACCAACGGTATCAATGTGGGATTCGATATCTGGCATGGGCCAAGATTTTCGAATTAAATTTTTATTGATCGTAGAGCGATAGTCAACGCAGAATCTGGGAGTGCCATCAGCTTTCACTACTATGGTAACGGCGGAGCCCCAAGGACTGGGTCTC